GGGGTCTGCCCCTTGAGTAGAGCACAGACTCTGCCGCCGGCAGAGCCCTCACTCCTCAGCTGACGAGGTTTTCTTATCTCCAGGGTGAAGGCAGCTGAAGAGGCTGAAGCTTTTGCCTCTGATATCTGCACTCTCCGCATCAAATCCGAGAGCGGGGAGCAGACGTACACTGTAAAAATGCTGTTCACGGAGACCATAGGGGACCTGCGCCAACACCTCGCCCACGCCAGGTAGGCCTAGGACTTCCTCCCCTCCTCGCTCCCCACCCGGCTCTGTCAAGCCCCAGGGAAGGTTTCTCAGCTGCCGCTCAAGGGCTGAGGGTTACAGTCCTAGCCCCAGGAGCCGCTGGGCACCCTCTGCTGCTTTGGCTCCACCACCCGAGATGCTCTCCGGGCAGCGCTGCCAGGGTCACGCTTAGCTCAGAGTATTTAATACCCACCTTTCCCAAAAAACTGACACAGCAGCAGAGATAAGTCTCTTTTGTCCCCTCAAAATTGCCATCTGACCCAGGTCCATCACTGCCTTTGCCTCCTTCCAGCTGTTCAGCAGCACTCGCCTGACTGTTGCCACCGTTCCCAAGGTGTTGGTGCAGCCTGGAAGCTGAGCTGCAGCCTTCAGCTGCAGCCTTCCGCTTGGCCGACGGATCCACTGCTGGACAAACACCCCCCCTTTGCTCAGCCGGCTCTATATCCCAACGCATTTAATGCTGCCCAAGGTCTCACACGTCCCCTTGGGGACAGTTCCAAATGGCTGAGGGGACCCCTTTGCTCTCCCCTCTTCCCACTCCTGTTGCGGGCCGTAACTCTGGTGTCGGTCTGAGCCCGCTGCTGTTGGGATGCAAGAGCCTCCTTCCCCACTGCAGCTGCGCAGCCTGGAACGGCCGCTCCGTGCCTGGCTGTTCGCAGTTCGGGCGGGAAGCCCTTTTTTCTGCTCAGCCTGTGCTTGTGAAACAGTCTCTCCCTCCGCTCTTGCATAACCACAGCTGGATCAGCCAGAGCATCTCAGCAAAACCTTGGGGGATCCTGTGTGTAGGAAAGATTGTGCTGTTCTTTCCTAGGGGTGGAGACTCCAACTCGTATGAGATCATCAGTACCTTTCCCCAGAGGGTGTACGCAGACGACTCCAGGAGCCTGCAGGAATGTGGCCTGATCCCCAATGCCTCGTTGCTGCTGCGGAGAAGAGACCCCTCCCCAACAAGAGGGGAAAGGGCTGCAAACAGCTTAATGGCTCCTAGCAAGAGCTGCTCGCCCCAAGCTCTGCAGGAGGAAGGAGCTGCCTTGCACCGTTAGCCGTGTTATAATCTCCCCTGGGTGGGAAGAGAGGAGAAGGGTGTCTTTCCAGATTTAGTTTCACTGCGCCGTTACCAGGGATGGAGAGAAGAGCTCAGAGGCAGCGGTTTGGCCTCTCCCTTCGGCAGAGGGTGCCAGGCCCAGTCCTGCTGCCTCACGGGTGGATGCTTTTCCCCCAAGACAGGAGGTGGGCTCCTAACACAGGGGCATTTCTGTCAGCTCAAACCCGAGGCCTGGTTTCTCGTCTCCGCTGAAGGTTACACGGGCTGATCGCTCCCCGGGGAAGGCCGCCAGCTTTACACTGGTACTGAGCAGTTGCTTAGCTGGGCTCAGGGATTCTCTATAGCAGCAGGACAGACAAACGGCCAGGGTCAATTTGCTTTCCACACACAGCTGCTCCCCAGACACTTCAATTGCACTTGCACCACAAGAGAAACAGGCTCAGTTATATGGTCCCCGGTGAAGCTAAACCAAAAGGCCTCGAGCCATTGCAGTGCTGGGACTGAGCCAGACTCATCTCGGCCAGGAGATCCTGCTACTGGGTTTCCTGTACGTGAACAACTCCTTCCCTTGGACAGCCCCCAGCTCCAGCGGGGCCCAGGCTCGCAGCCACGCCGAGCCCGCCTGCAACAGCCCCGAGCTGCCAGCCAGCCTCCCTCCCTCCCTCCCTCGGCAGCCTGCTGCAGCCGGGAGCTGGATGCTGCAACAGGACACCGTGTCATTGGAGAAGAGCGTAATCCCTTCGCTGCTTCTCTGCTGATCCCTGAGTAAAGCATCTTCCTCCCTCTCCCGCGGGCTGGGGCCGCGCTTTGCGGGCCCCTTTCCCCAGCACATTCTTCCTGTTTCATCTGTGACAAGCTCCCACTTGACTCCCAGCTGACGACACTCCCACTTGTGCAAGGCAGCGCCTTCTGGCAGGTTCCCTTTCAGCAAACGCCCTGCACACGCTGCCACCCAGCCCTCGTTAAAGGCTCCCAGTAAAACCATTTATTTAAGTAGCAGTTTCCGCTTCCATTAAGATTTCAAAGGCGCAGCTGGCTGCGGAAGGGGGGCAGGATGCCCAGAGCACTTCCCGGACCCCTCCGACCAGAGCTGGACCCTGCACAACTCAAATACAGGAAGCACCACTCATGCAAACCGGCCGCTTCCACGGGCTCCCTGTGACCACTGACTCAGTCCCCACAGCTCCGAGTTAGTTTCCTCCTTTTTCCACCTATAGCAGATATAGGAGCGTACAGGGGACCCTCCTATAGGGCAGCCTTTTCCACTGCCCCTCTATGTCCTGGTCTCTAACCGACCAGGTAATCTTCGTGCCAGCGGTTTGTTTTTCGCTCACGTGTCTGGCTGAAGCTGTCCCTCCCCCGGGCTGCCGTTCTTACCAGGCAGAGGAGAAGAGTGCTTGAGAGAGGTACCTGTCACTACCGCGCTGTAGGATATTCAGACAGGTCCTGTGAGCCTTTGATTAGCGGCAGCAATCTAAGGTGTTAAGATCTTTGTGTCGGGCTGCAGCAGCGAGTACAACTGACTCAGCTTCTCTGAGCTGGAAATGACTCAGAATCATTACGTAGGGCGATGTTTAACCTGTAGTCAAAATAAAACCAAATTTAAAAGAAACCCAGGGATACCGACGTGAAAGGTACAGTAACGTTTAATAGCATCTCGGAAGACAACACTGGTTATAAACTTGCTTTTTTGGCAGGAAAACAAAATGCACTTGGTCCAGGTTGCAAAAAAGCCAACTCAAAGAGGAAAGATAAGACAGCTGGAGCATCAGCTGTTCTGGAGCAGCCCTGAGCCATTAACGCTCACGAGGGAGCCCTGGCACCACATCGCGGCGGAGGGCAGACGGAGCAGCGCGGGTCCCGCTTCTAGGCCCATCCATCCCCCCCAGGCAGCCTGCCGAGTGACACCGGCCTTCGCCCCCAGCCCCGGCCTTCTCCACAGTGGGTGGTCAGACCCCAGCTTTGTGCAGTATTTTTGCATTAAAACAAAACGAACAGAAATCAACTTAGTTGCCTTAATCTCTGCAGTTGAGATGAAGAAGGAAAAAAAAAAAAAAGGAAGTGAGGCAGCAGGATTTACAATTTTAACAGCAACTGGGAGAAGTGGGAAGTAACATGCAACCCTAAGCCCTTCCCTCCTGAAGCAGAAGCTCTCCCTGCAGAGAGGGCCGGCGGACGGCTGCACTTCGCACAGCCCCAGAGGCTTTGCTGTTTACAGAGGCACTGGAAGCTGCGGTGTGAGCCAGGCCCAGCGTTGTTCAAAGGCCATGCGCAGCGAGCATCGGACTTTCTTTGGATCCCTCTGAGATGATATCAGGGTTAGGCAGGAGGCAGCTGCAATGAGTAGTTTTGGTCATGGGTTTCCCTACGCTGGGATACAGGTCGCGGTGCCAGGACAGCGCTGACAACCTGGAAGTGAAGGTGGTCGGAGATGAGGGTGCTCAGGAATGCAGGTAGAGTCCAGGATGGGAGGGGAGCCCAGGGCTCAGGCCAGCTTCAGGAACTCCTGCAGAGTGTTTTGCTCCACCGCTTCCACAAAGAGCTCGTAATCCTGCAGGGAAAAGCCACACGGTCGCTCACAAGGCAAGAGCGAGCTGTACACTCCCGCCGGTCAGGCAGCACGGGGTCCCCTGAGCACACAGCACAAACTGGTTCACGACACGGGCGACAGTCACACGGAGGACGACAGGGTGAAGCCAGGACAGCCCCACACAGCGCAGCCCCGCTGCCCACCGTCACCCAGAGTCCCCCTGGCCTGGGTCCCGCTTTTCACGAGCCACCATGCTCCAAATGCCCGTTAACCCTGGCAGCGCCTTGTCCGTGCACCTCACGAGAAATGCCTTTTAAAAGGCGCCTCGACACCATTTGTAGCAAAAACAAGGGGACGGGATTATTGCCCACCACCCAACCTCCAGGGTGCTTATCCCCAGCGCAGAGCATGAGCCTTACCCCGCAGTAGTGGTCTCCGTTGACGATCTGGGGTGGGATGGCTTTGGGGTTGCCTGCCTTCGCCCTCATCTCCTCCCGGAGAGCATTGTCCTGGGAGATATCCACCAGCTCGTACTTGATGTTTTTCCCATCGAGGATTCTGGTTACTTCGCTCTGTTGGGATTTGATCTGGAACCCGGGTGGGAAAGGCAGGTTACGGGGAACTGGAGAGGAGCCCGAAGGATGGGCACGCACCCCAGCGTGCCAGCCACGCTCAGCACAGCGCTCACAGAGCGACCGCTCCTTACGGGCCACGGTCCAGACCCCACCTGGCCATGGGGCTCGGCCCTGCGCTGGGGGGGGACGGACGGGACACCCAGCACGGCGATTCGGGGGAAGAAGGGGACAGGGCAGCGTGAGCAGGGGAGGGGACACCTGGGATGGGGCGGGGGGGGGGGCTTCGCAGCCCCACGGGGAAGAGACGCCCACCCCAGGGAAGG